GGAGGCCTCTTGGGGGCCTCTTGGGCAGTCTTGGAAGCTTCTTGGGCTGACTTGGAGGCATTTGGGACCCTCTTGGACCGTCTTGGACCTTGGAGGCCATCCTAGCCGTCTGGGAGGCCATCTTGGGACCATCTTGGAGGAGAAGACCGATGGAGTGTACTTTTTCGGCGGCTTTCCAGGTGGCCGGCGCGCTGGGCTGAAGCCCTAGGGTGAGTTCTTTGGGAAAAAGGACCAAAACTAAGCCGTATAGGGTCTAGCACGCCAGGCACCTTTGTGGCAAGCCAACAGGGGGCGGCGGATCGAAGACGCTTGCTGCGAATCACCGCCGCCCCCTGTCTTTTCGGAAGCGCCTGCGTGGCCGAAAGTTGGGTTTGAGCTTGGCCAAGCTATCGGACCAGGTGGTTTCCGAGCTTTCGGGCCTTCCTGGAGGACGTCTTAAAGGACTCTTCGGCCGTCTTAGAGGCCTCTGGCGGGCCTTTTGAGCAGTCTAAGGCCATCTTGAGGCTATCTTGGGCCGTCTTGGAGGCATCTTGGAGGCCATCTTGGCCGTCTTGGAGGCCATCTTCGGCGTCTTCGGGGCCATCTTGGGCCGTCGTGGGCTCTTCTTGGGGGCCTCTTGGGCTGTCATGGGGCCATCTTGGAGGCCTTTTGGCCGCTCTTGGGACGATGTTGGGGGCCGTCTTGGGCCGCCGGAGAGCTGCTAAAGAAGAAGATGTCAAAATCTGTCAAAAACCGAAGGATCATCAATGATTTCGGCCATTTCGGGCCTTCCTGGAGGACGTCTTGGAGCGCTTTTGGGCCGTCTTGTAGGCCTCTTCCGAGCCTTCTGGGCCGCCTTAGCCCATCCTGAGGCCATTGGGGGCCGTCTTGGGTGCATCTGGGAGGCCATCCTGGGCCATTTTGGCCGTCTTGGAGGCAATCGTAGGCCATCTTGGAGCAAGAAAGGTATTGACAGGCGGATTTTTGAGAACCTTCCGGGACCCTGGCGGGCTGGGCTGAAGCCCCAGAGGGAGTTCTTTTGGAAGAAGAACCTAAACCAAAAGCGAAAGGGTTCAGAACTCCATGCACCCTTGTGATAGATCAACAGGGGGCGGCGGATCTACACTGGCCTTCGGCCCATCTCGCCACCGTGCCTGTCCCGCGGCCCCCTTGGCCCGTTTTGGGGCGCTCTTGGTTGCGACCAAGTCATGCAGGAAGCCCCGAGGAACCGCGGGATGCACGCCAGGAACCCAGGAAAACAATACCATTTGGGGCCCAAGGTCTTTCATACTCAATCTTGAGGGCTGAGGACTGGGGACAACAAAGGACCTGAGAGCACTCCAACGCGTGCCTCGCAGCACAGTGGCGTGGCGGGCTTACAAGGAAATGGGACGGAGGGGGAGGAGGTCCTCCGTCCCTCACTGCGCTGTAGCTGGCCGAAGGCACCGATTTTCTCCCGCGCCGGACAAGCCGAGGGCGCCGGGTCGGTGGCGCGCGTGTGGCGCAAAATGTAGTGTTGCGTTGGGCGCGCCCGGGTGGTCACGGGGGTGGGTCAGAGGAGGAGGAGAAGGAGGAGGAACAGGAGCAGGAGCAGGAGCAGGAGGAGTACGGAGGAGGAGGAGAAGGAGTACATGGCGGAGGCGGAGCGAGGAGGAGGAGTGAGAAGGGAGGAAGACTTCGGACGGTGGTGAGGAGTGACGACGAGGCATAAGTGGTTTGGGCCAGTTCTGTGCGAGCGCGGCACGCCAGCTGAGTTTGGAACTGCCAGCCGCCAATCACATGCTGACGGCCGAAGCGGGGCAGGCGTGCATCCAGCCACGGGGGGATTTGGCCCAACAGGCAGCCGTTTGGGACGACTGGGACCTGCGGGTCTGCCTCGAGATGCCAGTGGAAGCCAACTTCGAGTCCTTGTTCGTGGGGGTGCTTTCCCTACGGAGGGCCCTGGCGCTCCCGGGCGCGGCGGGGAAGGCACGTTGGCTGGAAGGCGGCGCCCCGCGGCACCGGATAGGGGCTACCCAAGCGTCCGAGGGTGGCCCCCAGAGGCCCAAAGTGCAGGAAAGCTGGAGACTCTGTATGTTCGAGTCTCCGGGGGGGTGCAGAGGGGAAGCGGACGGGAGGGGGAGGGGAGAGGGAGGGGGAGGGGGGGGAGGGGTCGGGCGGGGAGGGACAGGGAGGGAAGGGGAAGGGAGGGGGAGGGGAGAGATAGGGAGGTGAGCGACAGGGAGTGAAGGGGACGGGGGAGGGTCTGAAGGAGGAGGATGGAGGAGGAGGTTCAAGAGGAGGAGGAGGAGGAGGAGGACGACGACGAGGAGAAGAAGGAGGAGGAGGAGAAGGACGTAAAGGAGGATGGAGGAGGAGGGAGGTGGGGCAGGAGGAGGGGGAGCAATGGAGGAGGATGGATGAGGATGGAGGAAAGCGGAGGACATCACTCAACCCGCCGCCTCGCGACCCAGGGGGGGGGGGGGGCGCCAGGACCTGGTGGTCGGGCCTGTACTCCGCCGCGGCCAGGGGCTGGGCGTGC